GGGGGCCTTGATCGATTCCACACTTTGCATTGTGGACTTGGAGAGTGTTGGAATTTTCCTCCTCAGGGAGTCACCTAGTTAGGGGCAGGTTTGACATCTCACGAAGCATCGCCTGAGAGCTTCCTACCTTGGTTTTGTTCTCTTCCCTAGGTACTTTTGGAAGGGAGAGATAGAAGAAGTCACTGAAATCCTAATGGTGAGTGAAAGCGGGAGGCCTTTGTCAGAGAAGGAATGAGATTTATCTTTTCCTCAGGTTCAAATGGCAGCAAAAATAAACCCACTGAGTTCTCTGCCACACAGAAGCAGCTCTAAGTTCACTTGTGAACTAGCGATCCGAGAGGAATGGTGTCTCCTAAATAGCCCCGTGAAGAGCAGCTGCTGGGCTCGGCGGGGCGAGGTCCTAAAGCAAGGGTTTTTCTTTTCTTTTGCAGTTAATAAAGACAAAGACTGCCAAGGTCCACTTGCTTTCCAGCTACATCAGGTAAGGCTGCTATCTCTTCTTGCTCATTCACCACAAAACCAGCCAGCGGAGCTCTGGGGACAAAGTACATCATCTTGACAAGCAGGCCACTTGAATCTAGCCACCAACTTCTGATATGGCCCTGGACCTGTCTCTGTCCTTCTCTGAGTCTGTAAAATGACCTAGAAGAGTCTGAGCCCGACTAGCAGTGGAGCTCAACTTGTTGGTCCCATGGCCCCGTTAAATCCTTATAAATGGTTGAAGACCCAGCGAGCTTCATTTCTATGTGTCAGATCTATCAAAGTATTAAAAAAAATTAAACAAACAAAAAAAATCCACTGCCATCGATTCTGAGTCAAACTAACCCTATATAGGACAGAGTAGACCATCCTTTTGGGTTTCCAAGACTTTCAATCTCTACCGTAGCAGACAGCGTCGTTCAGACTACTGACCTTTGGGTTAGCAGTTGGATGTGTAAGTCACTGCCTTGGTAATTAAAATTGCGGAATTTATGAACTTTTTAGTTCATTAAAAAAAAAATCAACCTCTTCCACATGAACGTAGTACCTTTTTAAGAAAAATAATAAATGAAGGGACTTCAAAATGTCTGAGAGAAAATTCCATTATTTCATTTTTTCATAAACATTGTGAAATCCCCTATTTTCACACAGAGAGAAATTAGAAGAATGGCTTTAATATACTATGATTTTTCAGAATCTTTTAAACTGTGACTTAAAAAAAAAGCAGGATTCACATTTGTAACTGTTTAGTCTGATGCAACATGTTCCATTAGTTGATGTCAGGGCCTTGAACTGAATATACTGAATCAGAATCTATATTTTTACAAGGTTTTTCACCTGGAGATCTGTAGGAATCACCTGCCTGGAGATATGTCTGCCTGGGGCAGAGATGCAAATTCTCAGGAGGCAGTCAAATTGGATGGAACTGGTTCAAAGCTCTGATTGAAGTATATTTATGAAGAAATTCTAACCTCACATCGATATCATTGGAAAAGTGAGGTGTATTTAAATAATCCTATTAGATAATTGTAGATATTATTCTTTGATACAAGGCTAAGGTTTGTTAAGTTTCTAGTTACAGTGTAGAATCTGAAACTATATTGGTGAACTTTTTGTACTGTTTTCTAAAAACTCATGCACTTTGAATGGCAATTTAGCCATGCATGGTATTTTAACATCATATACTAGTCATTTGGAAGATAATAAATTAGGCAGACTTTTCAAATATTAATATATTTCCTTATATAGTATCAAAAATTCTTATTTTTTAATATTCCCTCTGATGTTAGAATAGTATTGAAACACTTTTAATCTCTTACAATGATAAATCTAAGTTTTCAAAATTCTTCAAAATCTGAATTTTATCATTGGCAACAAATGATGTAAGTTGTTTTCTGTAGAATGATAGGCTCACTTTATTCATATTTGAAAAAATGTTCACCGGATCGACATACAGAAATCAGTTGGATTCTTGTATATTAAAGATGATGATATAAAAAAAAGATATTAAAAGGTTAATACCATTTACACTGACTGCACAAAAGATAAAATATTTAGGAATAAATAATTCCAGAGAAAAAAAGACTTATCCATGGAAAACTATAAAATACTCCTTCAAGAAACAAAAGCTTATGGAATAAGCTACCAGGGTCCTGAATAGGCAGACTAAACACTGTGAAAATTTCAATATTACAAAAAATACTTTACAAATTCACTGTAATTCTGATCCAAATCCCATAATTCTTCAAAGAAATGGAAAGACTTGACACCAACTTTATATAGAAAGGAATGAAACCCAGGATAAATAAAGCACCGTTAAAAAATGAAAAACAAAGGAGGAGGCCTTTCACTCCTAGACTTTAAAATCTAGCCATGGTAATAAAAGGAGCCTGGTACAAGTACAAGGACAGTCATGAAGACCAGTGGGCTAGAATTAACTCAGAAATACGACCAAGTACTATAGACACCTAATCTTTGATGAAGGACTAAAACACAGTAAATGGGGAAGAGATAACCTTTTCAACAAATGGTGCTGGAAAAACTATCTGTGCCTGAAAAAGAATGGAACCGGACCCATACCTCACACTGTGTACAAAAACAAACTCAAGATGGACCAAAGGCCTAAATATACATCATGAATGAAACATTAGGGACAAACTTATGGACCCCCAATACAAGGCATAAACACTACCAAAAATAATGCAAAAAATATCCACACTATAGAATGCAAAGAATTGGGACCTACTGAAAATACACTTATACACCTCAAAGGACTTCATCAAAAGAACTAACTGCAAACCCACAGATTGGGAAAACTATTCAGTAAGAATACATCAGATGATCTCTAAAATCTATAGAAAATGACAACATCTTAAGAAAAATACAAGTAACCCAATCAAAAAATGGGCACAAGGCATGAATAGACAATTTGCCAAAGATGACATCCAAGTGGCTAGCAACCATATGAAGAAATTGTTGAGTTCACTAGCAATAGTAGAAATACAAATTAAAACAATGAGATACCACCTCACACTGACACATTTAGCAAAAGTCATTAAAGCAAAATAATAAATGCGGAGAGGACAGAATGCTTTCCTTAAACGAATGCAAATACAAGTACCTTATAAACCAGCTACTGGGTATATACCCTAAGGAGAAAATGAATTCAACAAGAACAGACATATGCACGCCTATGTTTACTGAAGCAATTTCCATAATGGCAAAAAAGTGAAAACAACCAAAAGTGCCTACTATAGAGGAATGAATAAACAAATCCTGGGATATTATACACCAATAAAAACAATGACAACAGTCTGCAACCCTGAAAGACATGGACAGAATCAAAGAACATTATGTTTAGCAAACTTAGTCAGTCTTACAAAGATGAATATTTAGTGATACATTCTAGGAAAAACCAAAAGAACGTCCCTGCCCCACCTCTCATCGGCCCGCGGACCTGGCTGGTAAGATCATGGCCATCCAGGGGGTGAGCATCATCTGTCAGATCTGAAGTTCAACAACAAGAAACGTGTCAGCAGGCAGGAACAACGTATTTCAGAGCCCAGAGAATTCCCTTGTAATACTCCGCCCACTCCCCCAAACCACGCCAAAGGAGCCCAGGAGCATTGGGACTGGTCAGCGCAGCATTTGGAGAATCATACTGCCTAGTCCTCCTGCCGACTTTCTAAGTCCCCATGTCCATCCAGCCTGATCAGCAGCACCCCAGAATGTCCGGATCCCATGCCAGTTGGAGCAAGCCACCCTCTGTCCCCAGCGCCAAATGTGGGAAGGGGTTAGTGGGAAGGGCTGCCGGGCTCCCTGCCCATGTCTTACCCAATCTCTCAGAATGGGCTGGGCTGATGCGACGGGGCTTCTCTAGCTACGTGTCTAGCATTTCTTTGAACCCAGCGCTAGGGCGTGTGTATCCTGCCTGGTCGCCAGCGACCGAAAGCTCCCGCGAACAGGTAGGCTTGTGGAACCATTGGGTGGCCGCCCACACTCCCCGGGGGCCCGCACCTCTGTGCAGCTGGGGCTGCGCTGAACCGCGGAGCCCTTGGACCATGCGGTAGAAAGGATTAACGAATCCACAGCGGAGCTCTGGCCACCCAAAGCCGAACAGCCCCTTTGAAGGTGTAAGATCTGTCCTTGGTAAAGAAATTTGACCTCCTCCAGACTGCCTTGAAGATTACTCGGGGAGCCCCATGCCACCTGTTGTGCTGGGACAGCAGCACATCAGTGACCAGGACTCCCCAGCCTAAGGGCTTTCTGAAGCGCCTCGAGTACCCCATGGGGGCACTTTGTTGTTTCCCCAGACCTCTCACCTCGCAGGGTCCCGCGGGCATGGGGACCGAGGCTGAGCAGATTGGGACATTCAAAGGACTCAGAACGAAAACATTTCCCGGATGTAGGACAGAAAGCAAGGGGTCAGAAGGAGAAAGTGGCCTCCGTGGCATTGACCAGAGATGAAGTTCTTGGTACAACACTGCAGACAGCTTGGCACACAGTTGATCAGTTGGGAAGGCCCAGCTTCTGGGCCAGTTCCGGAGACAGAGATGTGCTTTCAGGACCCCGGACCAGCAGCCGGCAATAATCCCACCTGAACTGGAGCGCAACTGGTCCGGTGAACTGAACCGAGCAAAACCCACCAACTTGTTAGTAACCTGCAGGATTGGAGGGGACCCCCAGAGTAGATTGGGGTGCTCAGGCGAGCCTGATTCTAGTTGTTACTCAGGCTGGGAAGAAGGGAGGGGGGCCGGGTGCCCAGTGGGTTTTGATTTATGACCTCCAAGCCCTTAAGCTATCCCATAAATTTGGTGACCATTTTCACCAAAACCGTGAGTTACGATTTTTCAAATAAATACATTTTCCAATCAAAAGATAAATAAAAAGAAAAACAAAAAGATGTGGTTTATACACCAAAGACAAAACTTTGACTACTGCAAGGAGGTCAGAGATGAGGGTGGGGACAGGGAGGTAGGGGGGAATTAAAGCCCCCAAAAGAAAAAATGTTCATCTGAGTAACTATAATTTGTCAGTTCTTTCAAGTCAAAATGGTGTTCTGTGAGAAAACTGCTTCAGACAAGTGTGGAACTTCGGGCAGCAGAAGTGCCTTATGTAAAGCACTTCTAAATGTGACTTCCTATTGGTCACACAGAATAATAACCAGACATGTATCCAAGGGTCAGAGTTTATTAGCGTAATGGCCATGTTTGGTAAAGTGGGAGGGCATTGAAGAGGAGGAAGACTTTCGACAAGATGGATTGACACAGTGTCTGGTGATAGTGGGTGCAAACATAAGAACGATTGTGAGGATGGCACAGGACTGGACAGTGTTTTGACGGCACCTAACAACATTTATCACTTTACCAAAGGTAGTCCTAACTGAACGTGACTTGTTAATGCGACCGATGGTGAGTATGACGACAGCTGGTACCACCTGGTGCCACTATCTCGAAGCATACTAAGATGCCAGTGCTTTTAGCCATCATCGCTTTTGCACCGTATCAGCAGAGTGCAAATGGTAAATAAAATACCAGTACTATTATGAAAATCATTCTGGCCTCACGGACCTCCTGACAGTCTCGGAGATCCCCAAGGGTCAGTGGACCCCACTTGGAGAAACAAGTCTAAATCTTTATCAGTCCAAGATGTGGTTTGTGGAACTGGCATCCCCTGGCAATTTCATGTTCCCTCCTGCGCTCCCGAATAAAAAAATTCATTTCTGATGTAAGGTATAGATGAACACTTGAGAAGCGCTGATCCAGTCTGCTGGCTCGTACCAACAGCTACAGATTAGAATCATCTGGGGAATTTTTCAACTAACAGTCTGGTCCTTGTCTCCTGGAGTCTGGCTTATTTGTCTGGATTGGTGATCGAGTATGGTATTTTAATGTGCAGTGGGGTGAAAATGACCTCTCTGGATGATAAAATAATTTTCTTTCACATGTTAGGGGACCAGGGTTCCATGAATACGACTATCCCCAATGCTCAATGCCAGCAACAGGCAAGGCCTTTGTTAGCCTATCAGCAGACTGATAGAATTAGACACATTTGGTAGAAAACTGCACTGATGAGAAATTGTAGCTTAAATGGGAAAGGACTTCAGGTTTAACAGAGCAGTTCCTAGAACTTGACCCCCTGGTTTAAATCCTGGCTCTCCCACTTGTTAGTTGTACCAGAAATGCACGAGTTGCTTAGATTTACTGTGCCTCAGTTGTCTCATCTATAAAATGGGGATTAGACTAGTTCCTTGGGGTGTTACGACATTTTGGATGACTAGATATGCATACATGAAGTATGGTATAAGTGTCTGCTCTTCTAAAGTGTTAAAAAATATCTTTCACTTTGAATCCCCTAAAGCTGCTCATACATAGACATTGTTTACAGATTTCCAGGAAATAAACGAACAAGATTCACTATCCTCAGGAAAAAAATAAACTAACTTTAAAGCTTATGCATATGTATAAATATGTTGTGATTTATTAGGCATGTTATAGCATGAGAATTTCACAGTGCTTCACTGAATAGAAAGGAAGTGGGGGTCATTACCCCATTTGACATGGGATACTAAGGCCCAAGGCTTCTTCAGTCTGGATGGTAAAGAGACCATACAAAGGATGCTGAAACACAGGTGAAATGGGATCAGATTCCTGTGGGCTTAGCTGATCAGCGAAGATCCTTTAGAAAAGGTAAATGGTGGAGTTGAGCCTTGAGGGATAGAGAGGCTTTAGATTGGCTAACAGGAACCATGGGAACTTTCTAGTTGAGGGTGAGAATAATGAGGCATTAGGGATACGCTTGGAGAAAGCTGGGTGACCAGAGTACTTAGTGTGAGATAGCAACAAAAGTAGTTGCTTACATTTAACGAATGCCTACCATAGTAGTTGGGATACTAGTTACATGCTTAATATACTTTGTCTCATTTACAACTCAGGAGGCTTATCCTCTTTTGTAGGGGGGTCTTTCAAGAAACTAAGTGGCTTGCCCGGAGCTGTACCTCTTGACCCTTGTGGATGTGTGGGAAACACTGGTTGTGGCACAGGTGGGCTGTGAGCTGCACAGGTGGGCTGTGGCAGTTCACAGACCTCAGGTGAGACGGGCCAGTTCATGTCATCGCATGGACGGATTCTAATCATCACTGTTCTCTTTCCATAGGTTGTTGCATCCTTTTGAAATCCCAGAGGTCTTCAGTTTTCCCATGGACCAAGGAGATGGGCACTTTTTTAAGTGGCTTGAGGAGGGCGTGCAGGAAAACTGAGTGGGGGAGAATGAGGCTTTTTGTGCATCTGGCTGGCTGCCTCTAGCCCTCACCAGCTGCACTTTGAAGTGCATTGCTGAACTCCCTGTTCCTGTCAACACAGAAGAGCGAAGGGCTGCGGCTGGGCCAGTCAGGCCAAGCAAGAACCTAAGGAAACGTCTCTTGGAATGCTTCAGGCGTGAAGGTGGCTAAGGGATCGAGGAGCGAGGCTGGTTGGTTGTGTAGAGAAGCCAGGAGGAGGTGGCAATGAAGCTGAAGTTTGTCATCGTCTTCAACCACTGGAACTGCGTTGTTTGCTTGGGGTGTGTAACTTTCTTGTGTATCTGGAGCAAACAGCCCCAATGACGTTGTTCACCCTGGAGTACATGGGATGCACGCCTGATTCTCGGGGAATTGTCAGTGCTTTAGTCCAAAGGATGAATTACTAATGGGGACATTTCAGGAGTCAGCAGCATTATTGCTCCAAGATAGGGATGGCATGTGTTGCTCCTGAGGCTCGTGGAAGTGGGACTTGGAATGGCCTTCCTGAGTGTGTGTAGGGCTGCAGGGAACCTGGGGCTTAGACACAGCCTCATGGGTTGGGAGTAAGTCTGCTCACCTGAACGTTACAGACTTCAGAAGGGTCTGTGGAACATAGGCTCTGAGCCCACTACACCTCATGAATATTAAAGCTGTCTTAGAGTGGGAAAAAGGCAAGGGTCTGCCAGACCAGTGCTTTTCCACCTTGCTCCCCAGAGTCCTGAAACCAAACCCACTGCCCTTAGGTCAATTCCAACTCATAGCCGTTCTACAGGGCAGAGTAGAACTGCTTATGGGTTTCTGAGACCAAACTATGCTTTACGAGAGTAGAAAGCTTCAGTTTTCTTCAGAAGAGTGGCAGGTAGTTTTGAACTGCCAACCCTGTGGTCCGTAGTCCGACACATAATCCACTGGGCCACCAGGTCTCACAGCCACAGAGCCCTAGAGTTGACACAAGTTCCCTTTGAGAGCTTCTTGATCTGGGACAAGAATAAGGCGTCTTACCCATACATCAACCAATGCAACTAGGCTTTTATTATATCCCTCGTAGGATTTGGCTTGATTTTTAAAAGTCTTTGCAAAAAAAAAAAGTCTGCTAGAAGTTTGTACACCGCTGGTTTTAGCCAGTCTCCATTTTATACATCTTACTAAAAGAACCTGGCTTGTACTGAGGTCCAGAAGGGGTGGGTTGAGTGCCCGGATGGTACAGCCCAAGCTGCTCATCCCTTGAGATGCTCTCTTGCACCTGCTCCAGGGGGCTCAAGTGGAAGTGGCCTAGGCAGGCAGTGGTCAGCAGAGTCCTCTAGAACAACAAAGACTTGACCAAGGGATCCTCCATCAAGGTCACTACTCTGGGGAGACAGAGCTATTTGTCATGGACGGGAGGGCTACGTGGTATCCTGGGTCATCTCCTGAGGGAAAGGGCAGAAGGGAGGGGGTAGGGCCAAACTCAAGTTCTGATACTTCCTGTGCTGCTTTGGGCCTTAGTTCCCCCAAACACCAAAGAGGGGCCGATCTGTGAGAGCCCTTCTGTGAAGACCTTGCCGGGACTCCAGGCTGAGGCCTTTCCCAAGGTCCAAGGTTCTTTGGGTAGCCAGGGGGGATCGGAGGGGAAGGGATGCACCAGAACCAAGAGCGGTGTGGGCAGTCTCTGGCTTTTCACGGCAGTCTCTGATAGGTATAAAAATCTAGCTTGTGTCAAGGAAATCCAACATCAAATGAACTGCCTGCCGGCATCACTTTTAAGATAAAGTCCAATTTCATGGTCTGACTTGCCAGCCCCTTCCCTCCCTAGGCTCACCTTTTTCCATCACCACCTTCAGCCTCTTGGGCTTGCCTGTTCATGCTGTCCCTCTGTCTGGGATGCCCTCTGTCGAGCTGCTTGGTGAGGCTAGCTGCCCCTTGGCAAAACCTGCCTCCCCTGGTTGAAAGGAGTCCCTCTTGCCTCGGTGATAGTCGGGTGCCTTTCTGTAGCCCTGGCCCTGGTCAGCCTCGTTTCTCGATTGGGAGCTGTTCACGGTCAGGGGTGTCTGAATGGGCTTGCTGTCTTGCACGGGATTTAGCACATACTTCCCCACTTGATGTGCTGTGGAACTGAGTAACTGAAACTTCCCCACAGGACAGAGTTGCTTTGTAGCTAATGGACTTGGCAAGATCAGACATGTTTTTCCCCCTGGAACTTTATCTTAAAGTGGGGCTGAATCCAAGGGAGATGTGTCCGTTTGTGTACAGTCGCTGTCTGTGGCCGCCTTTGGGCCATTTTCTGTGCTTACTATGCACTGGGGTCAGAAAATGTCCCTTGGGGCCTTCCTCCGTTGACTATTGTTGAAAACAAGATAGACAGGAAGACGTTTACTAAACCTCTCTCTCTGCCAGGTACGTAGAGCCTCGTCATTGTTTTATGCTTGTAACTCATCATGTTATTTTGCAGATGAAATGAACCCAGAAAGTATACTCACTGACAGGAAGTGGCAGAGCTAGGATTTGAAGCGAGGTCTCCTGTTCTAAACGTGATGCCTTTTCTTTCATCCAAAGAGGGTGGCTGTCTCCCTGGAGATGCCAGGTGGACCCCGAGAGCCTGCTCTAGTCAACGCTAACGGATGAGACCCCAGGAGCTAGGTCTGTGGCCCTTTGGTTGGATTTCATCTTTTGCTACACACCGCTGATCCGGAGACCCCCGGTGTCACTGCCGTTCCTCAGGTGGGAGGGGTCACTGGGCCTGTGCGGTGAACCGGCCTCTGTGCCCACTGCCCTTTCCGAATGACGCCGAGGGCACTAGTGCGAAGACTTAGGCTGGGGTTGCCAGCTGAGGAACAGCTCCTCAGGATGTCTCAGAAGTGATTCTCGAATCCCAATCCCTTGGGAAAAATTAAAAAGCCAGCCCAGGAACAAGTACTACCATTCTCTTGTATTAAGAGGGAGCATCCTAGAGATGTTACTGGTTTGAAGGAACTGTCATCCAAAAAAAGAAACGGGAGTAGGCAGGAAACTCGACGTGGATGGACACCAGGACAGAAGCAAGTCGGTCAGAAATGACCACCATCCGTTCGGGTCCCGCCTGTACTTACTGCCGCGTTCTATTATGTGCGTGTGCGCCAACCATCTGCCAGCTATGACGAGTCATTTTGTGAATGAGAGATTGACAGACAGCCCTGTGTACAAGTGCTGTGAGTGGTGTTCCCGGAAATGACTTGGGAGCAAAATACATTCCGTTGGTAATTTCGACTCATGGTTCTGTGCAGTGGTGCTAGTCTTTGCTAGGGTGTATTTGAATGTTACCAGTCATGCGCCTTGGCATTTCCCGGTGTTTGGATAGTTCCTGAAGGCTATGGTTCTTTGTAAATTGTACCAGGCTTCATACTTATGACCGGCAATTCATTTCTTTAATGTGGAAAACAGAACACTCAGGGAAATATGATGAGGACTATATTCCCTAACTTATAACTGAGGGAATCTGAAAAGCTAGTATTCCATGGTAGGAAAGCCTCCACTTTGGTAAGTTAAAGTCCACGTACATTATCCTGCTTTAAATACCATTCCCACAGATCCTCCCCTAACAGCTATGATGCCTTAAAGTGAGCACTTGGTGGATTTTTATCTCCCTATGGAAGCAGACATCCAGCTTCCTCTCCCTTCCCAGTGTCTCCCAACCCCTTCACACCTTCCCCCAATTCAGGTATTAGGTTTCCTCACCTGTGAGATCCGGGGCCTTAATGTAGGTACCACCCACCTTGGGGTGCTTGTAACTGACTGTGCAAGTCTTATGTCCCAAGAGAGTAAAGGGGGTTCGCGCTCACTTCTCCCAGTTCCATGTGGACCAGCAAGAGGGGCTGAGGTGAGCATGCTACCATCAAATGTGTCTGACTCCTTTATTTCACTCTTTCCTAGCCTCTGTGATGTCGCTAGCTTCATGTATTTTTGCAATACAATTACGCCTCATGGCCCTTTGGTTGTTGGAGACTGGTTTCCTCTGACACTAGTGATCAAAACATAGGAAGCATGTTGGAGGTCTTTTACGAATAGCTTGTGCAGCATTGCTGGTACTTCTAACTCCTTGCTTCTTCGGAGATAAACTTTGCGAGTTTGGAAAGACGACCTTAAGCCAGAGGACGGGTCAGGCAGGCACTCTCCGGCCGGCCGGGGCTGAGGCACTGAGCTCAGGAGGGTCTGCATAGCCCACTCAAGCTGAGGCCAGGACCTGGCTTTCCTGACGGTTTGTCATTCTCTCCACACCAGGGCATTCACTTCAACCCAGGTAACACTTCTTCCCACCCCCGTGTGGCTCCTTCCAAGCGTCTGATGGCAGCGGAACACAAGGAAGCCCTTCGCCTGTGTCTATGTTGCACTCCTGAAGAACTGGGGTGAACAGGTGCCCCCCCCCCCCATAGCAGCCCTTTCCCTTCCCAGTCTCTTCTCTCTCTCACTGAACTGCGCTGAACTTGGAGGAGTCTATTTTAGAGTACTAATCCTCCACATGTTCTGCGATAGGGTCCCCTCCCATCCACCTGCCTGGGAAGCCAGCTAAGGAAGGATTATTTACCATCTTTTCCAACGTGAGGAAGGAAAAGCAGGGAAGCGAGGCCACTAGAGCCAGGCCGGAAACTAGTCTCCCACTTCTAGCATTGTGTGCCTGTGTACAGTCGTAGCTGTGCTGGGGCCGCGGTCCAGCACAGTTTCTAAGTGCCTTTTCCCTTTCAGTGGCTCTCAGCCCACAAGTCCTGCCCTGCATGTGTTTAAGGCACAATAGTTAAACAGGCTCCACCACCTCTGGCCGCGGTGAGAGTCCTGCTGAGAACTGGGTGGCCAGAGAGGATGCTGTCAGGCCCTTCTTCCTCCACTTCCAGGAACCTGAGGGCAGAAAGCAGAGCCAGCGCCTCCCGTTACCCTAGTCATGCACAGCTAGGCAGCTTTCAAATTGTACACGGCACATTAATTATAACTTTAATATAACATGTTATTAAAAGCAGCAACTCAAACCATAAGTCTTTTAGAAGGTGCACAGGGTTCATAAGCTCTGTTGGCAGTAACACAGCTCTCATCTGGTCTGAAAGGCTGAGGGCCAGGACTCGGGCGGACCTTGTAGTACAGACTCCAAGTGGGGAAGAGGGCCCCCCACCTTCCTGCCCAGGGTCGGGAACCTGAGGGCAGGCACAGGTGCAGTGTAACAGGGCCCCTGTGTCCTTGGAAGCCTGGAACTCGGGTCCGGGTAGCTGCTGTACTCTGAAGTCAGGCAGGGACACAGGTGGGACCCCAGACCCAGCACCTCCTGCTGGGCTAGGGGCTGCCTGTCTTCTCAGCTCCCGCCCCACTTGTCCCCAGCCAGGCGCCTCAGAGCAGCAGCTGTGGGGCTGAGGAAGAATGGTGGCCCTGCCTGGGTCATGCCAGCGAGGCAGGGGGGTGTGCTGGGCAGTGCACAAGAGGCAGGGCCCCGTGTGAAAGGCACTGAGGAGATGAGGTTTGAGGTGGGGGTGATGGTGGTAATGTGAACTATCTCAGGGATCCCTCAAGGTAGAGGGGTGTCAGGCCTAGTCATGGAAAACCCAGCTCCTCAAGCCTCCTACCGCTGTTGCCACCACTCCTCCCAGGTAGCCTGCAAGGCCCAGCCCCGCCGGAGGCCACAGCGGCAGCTGGCAAGGCTGGTCCCCATCTGGTGCCCCCCCAAGGCACTTGTTTCCATTCTCCAAGTGAGTCAGTCTAACATCTCTGGAAGCAGCACAAATGAGGGGTCCCCTCACCATTCTTGGTTTTCCTCCACTGGGGACCAAGTTTATATGGCAGTGTAAAGAATTCCAGTTACCGTGTATACTCCTGTACAAGCCGAGCTTCTCAGCACAGTTTTCATGCAGTTTTTGTGGTAAAATTAGGTGCTTCAGCTGATATTCGGGTCGGCTTCTACTCGAGTATATAGGTACCCTCCTGCTGACAAAGGCTTCCCTTCGACAGCAATGGAAGGTGCAGCCCTTTACAAATCCCATCCCATCCTATCCCGCCCCCAAGTGATTGTCAATTTCAGGAGGGAGCAGCAGGTAAGGGAGCCCTGTGCTTCCCTCCCTGTGGGGCCAGAGTCTGAAAGGGGCTGGGACCTGGGATTTCACATTTAGCTGCAGCAATCAAGCTCCCGAGACAGAGCCCGGAGCGCCCAGGGCCGGAGCCAGGCTGCCACTGGAAGGGAGTGCAGGGGGAGGGAGTGTGTACACACCTGAAGGTGTGTTGCGGTTACGCGGAGATGTGTCCCTGTAGGATGAAGACACGTGGATGGAAGCTTCCGTGTGTGTATGTGTGTGTGTGTGTGTGGTGTGTTTCCTTTGTGTGTAGCTGGCAGTGTGGGGTCTGGAGGGCAACAGGATTGGGGGGGCGGTCTGGGATCTCAACACAGCATGGATTCTTTCCTCCACTTTCGACTCCCTCACTGCCTGGTACTGCAGTTCCCAAGTAAGGCCAGGCCCAGCTCCATGAAAACTGAGAGGGATGGGGTCCAAGAAGGAAGTGACCTCAGGCACCAACCTCTGTAGCCTTCTCGTTCAGCCTGTACACTGGAGCCCGAGGCAGAGACCTGACCTCACTGGGCATTCCAGGTAGTCTCTGCTACACGGGTATCCAAAGAGAGACTCCCACATCCTACTACCTCTTCCCAAGGGGCGGGGCAGGGGGTGGCAGGAAAGTGGGAGAAAGAAGCTGAGAGGCATCCTCTTAGACACCATCATCGAGTCTCCCAACATTGCCCTTGGGAAGACTGGCTGTCCCATGGGCCAGGGGTGAGGGCGTCCAGTGGAGGGCGAAAGGTGCCTATGGAGGGCATGTGAACCCAATACATGGGGTGAGGGGCACAGAGGGAATGCAGACTGACTCTGACCTTAGGAGACAGACTATGCACAGAGCAGGGGTGAAGGCCTTTACAGGGGAGTGGGCTGGCAGGCAGGCTAAGGCCTTAGCCAGACACTTGTAGCCCGGCCCTCCTTTCCTCCCCACCCCCATCTGGAGAGAAACAGGGAGGCTGTGGCTTCTGCTGTCCTGGGTCCGGCAGGCCCTGAGGGCTGGTCAGTAGGGAGTGGTCCCTTCCCACTCCACCAAGTACTGGACCTTGCCCTGTGGCGTGACCCTCCGAGCCAACACCTGGTACTTCTCCCCACAGGCCAACCGGCCAGCCGCGCCAAAGTAGTTGGTGATGGACGACTTAAGGTGGGACAAGGACGAGTCATCCTCACTGAGGCTTTCAAAGGTGTGGCTGTCGATGCCGTCGTCTGGCCGCTCGGGGCCCGAGGGCCCCTCTGCACTGCTGTCTGAGGGGCAGCGCCCTCCCAGCTCGGCCGCCCGCCGCTTGGCCCGCAGCGGCATGTATACGTTGGCTGCCAGCTTTCTCTTGCGACTGCCCACTGTCCGTCTGTACCAAGAGTGGGGAGAGGAAGATGGTGGGCTGAGACAGGTCGAGCCTCACACCAGTGCCTCTCCCAGCTTCTAGGCTCTAGCCGGCCCTAAGCACGGCTATCTCACTGGGGCCACACAGTCGCCCTCCAAGGAGGCTCAGGGCCGACAGCTGGGGAGTAGGAGAGCCAGGCTTCCAAGCTAGAGAGCAGATGCCAGATGTCTAGACTCAAGGATCAGCAGGGCACCGTTCCAGGGCCGCCCTCTGTCCCCGGAAGCTTCCACTGCCCTGCCCCTCAGTAGCAATCACTGGTAGATGAGGGAGTTGACTAAGGGTGGGGAGGGGACCTTGTAGCCCAGAGTCAGCTGGAGGGACAGATGCGTGCACTCAACAGAGAGATGGGCTCACACAGAAGAAGGGGTCCACAGAGAGGCTCGGCACCAACTGAGGAGCACATAGGCAACAGCAGGGAGACCCCGAGATGGAAACCCTTTGAAACAGAGAAAGCTGCCAAGACCCCCGCCACTCCAGGCCCTGCAACTCTACTTTTGCAAGGGCCTTGAACCCAAAACACCAAACCCACTGGCCCTGAATCCCTTCGAACTCACAGTCACCCTAAGAGGGCAGGATAGGACTGCTCCCTAGGGTTTCCGAAGCTGTAAGTCTTTATGAGAGCAGAGAGCCTCCTCTTCCTCCCGCGGAGCAGCTGGTGGGTTGGAGTTGTTGACTTTGTGGTTAGCCGTCTAATATATAACCCACCACACCACCAGGGCTCCTGCAAGGGCCTCAGGGACCCTGAAACCGTTAAAGAAGCCTCCCAAGTCCCTACGGAATGCCTGTATGTGCTCTGCACCCCCACCCTCCCTGTGCTGCTCAGGACCAGTGACTGCCAGCAGACGGCTCCTGGACAGGAAGCCACCTCTGTCCATCAGGTCTCCACAGACCCTCCCTGAAAGCCACAGGGGACTGGGACAGAGTGGAGGAAGCCTGCAGTCAAAGGCCCAGCCATGCAAAATCAACCCTGGGAAGGAAATTGCCCGGCAAGTGGTGCCACATGACGGAGGGATGAGACCATAGCATGGGGAATGCTCATACGCAGCTCCATCCAGTTCCAGGGAGCTGACCAGAGGGCCCCACAGCCAGGCCCACGCTATACCAGACAGCCATGACACCCCCAGCCCAAGAGTGGAATGTGCAAGCGAAGTGCTCTGTCACACAAGGGGGAGGTGGCAGGGCCAGATCCCAGGAAGCTCACCTGGAGTCATAGGAGAGGCTGGTGGAGGCGGAGCCAGAGGTGCTGGCGGCATCCGTGGAGTCCACGTCCGAGAAGAAGGTCTGGCCTGAGCTAGCGCTGAGAGGGGGCAGAGAGGGAGCCTGCTGGACACCTGGTCCAGCAAGGGCCTGCCTAACTGGCTCTTGGGGACACTGGTAGCCCCTCTAGCCCTCTCTCCACCCTGGACATGCAAGCCCCCTTCATCCCCAGGGGGGCCTGACTCCCCACTATTTAGCATTTTCCCACCATCATGTCCATGGCTGCTTCCTGCCTGCCTGCCACTATCTGTGCACCCAGCCTCCGAAGCTGCCGGTGCCTTTGGTGACAGTAAAGCGGAGAAGCGTGAATCCGGGCACTTGGGCAGTCTGCTACAGCTCAGAGTGGTCTCGTTGGAGATGCACCTGGCTTGAGCCTCATGATGCCCACGAGGAGTCACAGAAGTTAGCCAAGGCCACCCAGCTAACAGCGTGACCTCTCTCCTCTGGGCCCACAGAGAAGTCCAGCTCCTCCCCTGAGCGTCAGGGGGCGGGATCCTTACATTACGCTGCAATGTGAGGAGCACACGGTACTAGGGAGGAGTAGCAAGGCTTTCCTGGAGGGGCTGGAGTTGTCCGAGGAGCGGGGAGACAATGGGAGGGGGGTGTTCTAGGCAGAGGACACAGCATGAGCGGCAAAGCGGGAGAGGCAGCAAAAGCCCCAGGGTGGGAGTACCTGGGTACCAGGGGGAGAGGGGCAGGGGCTGTTATGCTGGGAGAACTCCCAGAGGAAGATGCTTCCAGGTGAGGTGGCCCCATGCAGGATGCCCCTGGGCAGCTCTCCTGATTGACCCTCTCCAGAACCTTGCTTCATTCACTCTTGGGGGAACAGAGGTGGCCTCCCCCTCTGTCCCTTTCAGTCTCCTGAGCAGAGCTCTCTCCGGGGCTCCCACAGTCGCCTCCTTTCTGTTGTTCTTCCCCCAACAGCTCTATTGGCACCTAAGCCACATAACGGTTACCTTTTTAAACTCTGAATTTCATCCAGTGTGAAGTCAAAGATGCTGGCCAGGTGATGGTTGGTACTCCAGGCCGAGGTGAAGTCGCTCTGTGGACAGAGGGAGGTAGTGGCGGGGGGATCAGGTAGGGCGCAGCAAACCCATCTCCCACAAGCACCCCTGATCCCCACCCACCTAAGGCCACACACAGCTGTCTGCTGGTCCAGCCAGGGCTGCAGAGGGCTGGACCCTCCCCTGGGAGAAGGGAACTTCTCATTTCTTCCTCATCCCAAGTCTTGACCAAGGAGCCAAGTCACCTGGTTCGAGCCCTGGCTGTCTCTACCTCCCTGCACCTTGGTTTCCTCCGCTACACAGTGGGTCACTCACGAACCTCTGCCCTGTTTCATGCTTCGTGGCAGCAGGCAGCGCAGTACAATGGCATAACGGTGGTAATAAAAGGGCCTTGTAACCACTGCGTATCTGAATGGCTCTGTGCACTGTAACGTCTGAGTACGGCTCCGCAAGGACGGGGCGTGAAGAAAGAGTGTGTGTGCCTGCCCCGGGGCCCTGCTTGGATGGATGACTTCAGGCACATCACTGTCCCCACGGACTTCTAGTTTCCCCACCTGGACAGCGGTGCCCAAGGGCATTACCTGCCCTTGCTCCCCACTCCCACTCTCCCCATCTTTGTGTTCTTGGGAGCCTTGGGAAGGGGTGCCTGGCTTTGCTAGGAGCTGGCTTCCCCTGGGAGGGAAGTGGGGCAACCCCCCAGGGCTGGGAGAGGGAGACTGTGTTTTTTCCCCTGGCCCAGGAGTCCCTAACACGCTGGGGGCAGAGAGAAGAAAACAGGAAACTAACACTGGGAATAGCATCTTCCAGCAAAAACTTTGATCTTTTTCTTCTATAAACTCGCCTTTTCTGCTGCTGGAATTCCTGAGGTGACAGACTGCGGAGACAGAAGAGGAGGGAGAGGGTGGCCCAGTCAGGGGTGGCCCAGGTGAGGGCCTGGAGGAGCCTTGGGCCTTGGACACCCCCCGCCCCCTCCACTGGCCCATTCACGGGGAGGTTGAGGGGCAGCAGGGGGGGGGGGGGCGTGTGGTTTGGAAGAGGGGAGGGCAGGCAGGAAGAGGAAGACGGGGCCTCTGTAGGCCCACACCAATGCCCTGCACCCCACACCTAAGAGGAGGGGGCTCAGCTCAGCCAGAGGAGTGAAGACCCCTCCCCCACCTTACACAGCCATTTTCCCTTCACCTCTGCCTCCTCTAGCCTAGCAAGGTTGGGTCCCAGAACCTGGCTTCCCTCTGAGCAAGGCAACAAGGGGACTGTGGTAGAAGGAATCTGGGGCCCCTGGCAGGACAGCCTGGGAGCAGGCCCTCGTGTTCATGTGGACACCACTGCACTCTCCGGGCCCACCCCATGGGCCGGGTCTGGGAGCTAGGAGAGAAACCCAGTTCCCCTAAGAAAGAAACACAGTTCCGCTGTGGCCCCTGCCCCAGGGTTCCAGGCACTGACCCAGGCTTGCTCTTTCCTCTCTTGTGCAGCTCAGAGGCGCGGCCATTCTCACTGGGCCCCAGCCCCCTGTCCGGCAGCAGCTTCCCCGGGGGGTTCGGAGGGACGCGGACACGCAGGCGGAAGATGCACTTCTTTTTCTTGATCTCTTTGCCACAGAGGAACCTGGGGTGGGGTGGGAGAGGTGGGGAGGGGAAAGAGCCAGCTCTGGCGTCTGTGGGTCTGTCCTCTCTGTGAGTGGGGTCAAGCAACAAACTCCCCTCTCTGGACCCACAGCTGAACTCCAGAGTTCAGCTCTGGAGACTCCAGGGGGCTCAGGAGCTCCAGGGGGCGGCGAGGGTGTTGCTGGCACCTCCTTCCTCCTGCACTTGGTGGTTCTCAGTGGCTCTCTCCCACCTCCTACTGCAAGGCTGCCTCCCGCCCAGTGGAACTCCTGGGGCTCAGACAACTGGATTCTGCACCATTCTGGTCTCTGGTCTCCCCCGCCCCACCACCCCAAGGAGATGGAAAGCACTCCAGGTATTTTATACCACTTTTCTAACACTGGCTGAGCTGCCATGACCCAGGTATCCCCCTATGGGGGGAGCGGCGGGGGTGGGGGGTCACTGTCCCCGGGGAAAGGAGCTGGCCCAATAGCAGAGTGGTTGATTCTGCCTAGAGAGGTCCAGGAAGATGTCACACATTCAAGAACCTTGTCTCGGGCCCCTTAGCATCCTCTGCACTTAGCCTGGGGCCTGACACCGCAGCTATTGGGTGCTGGTTGATGCGATAAATGAATAAAAGGGACAGACAAGAATTCCAGACAGAGGAAGTGGAGGATCAAAGGCACTGAGTTGGGAGAAGGGGGTTTGGCACAGATGGCACCCAGGACGGGTAACGAGCAGATGAGATGAGCAGGCAGGGTGATCTTAAAGGAGTCCTGACTGCCAGGCTCAGAGGCCTGCCCATTCCCTGTGGTGGGAGTGAGGGGTGTGGTCAGGCTGGGGGATAGCTGAGGATGACTAGTGCACCCAGAGGTGAAGAATCGACTCCCCCAATGCCCAGTCGAGAGCTAAAAATGGCTGGAGCAGGAGGGGTCATGGGGCAGACCCAGCATCAAAATGTGCCAGGCAGCTGGGGAGCTCGGGGAGGTTTTGCAAAGGAGGTGGGGTAGTACAAGGGGAGGGATACCCAGAAAGGGAGCACGGCTGGCTTCAGGAAAGACCAGGAGATGGGAAGAAGCTTTAGAGGGATTTTCCACCTGCTGGGGGCACCTGTGGAGCTCCGGCCCCTCCCTGCACGCACCGGCTTTTGTAGCTGTTCAGAGCGTTGAGGAGATGAGGTCCTCGGTCCGTCATGGGGGTGCTGGTCAGCTGAGGGGCAGGGCAGCAGGACGGTCAGACCCAGGAACGTGGCGTCTGAGGGGGCCCAGCCCATCCCCTCCCTCCCTTCCATCTCCGACGCTCCGGAGCCCTGCACAAGAGAACCCTGACCTCCCTCCCCTCTGAGTGTCCTTCACCATCTGCAGATGGGAAGAACTCCTGTCCCAAATGGATCAACCAACCCCCCTTTCTCCCCTCCCCCCCAAAATTCACTGCCATCAGACTCCTAGCAACCTGAAGGGAGTAAAGAGTGGGTTCCTAGGGTTTCTCAAACTGTCAATCTTTGGGATGGGTGGGGGGAGAGCAGAAAGCCTCATCTGTCTTCTGAGAAGCAGCTGGTGCACTAGAACCGCTGACCTTGTGGTGAGCAGCCCTACACCACCAGGGCTGAAAATGTCTAGACCTCTGACCCAATACCACTATTCCCTGGAGTCTCCCATGCAGACCCAATACAAAATGCTAGCAGTAACACTCTTTCTCATGGGGGCCAAATGCACAAAACAAACCAAAAAACCCACCACCACTGGTGGGAAGGGCTCCAGTTTTCCCTCCAGAAACAAACAGGTGGTAAGTGATGTAACTGTCAACAATGTTTCTGAAGATGCTGGTGAGACTTACGAGAGACACTAAAAATTAAAAGGACTTAAAATCATGTATACAGTATAATCCGAATCATCTGATAAGGAGCAATATGGGTAGCAGAGAGGCTGAAAGGAAGTGGCCCTCACAAGGAACACCGGTTATTTCTGGGTGGTGGGGACATTGATTGTATTTTTTTTGGTCTATTTCCTTATACGTTAAATATTTCCCGCCAGGAACATGTCATGGTTTCTTATAGATTAGGGGATAAAAATGTTATTTAGCAAAATGTCAGAGCTGTTATTTTTTTTATAAATAGATAATTAGACACTGCAAATGACAGTCAATCATTAACAAAAACTCTTGGTGATGTATAAAGGGTGTTCTTTTTATCCCCTGATCCCTGTCTCATTCAAGAGAGAATGATGGGGCAGTCAGCAGAGTGGATGCTGACTCCGGATATGGTGGGGAGGATTCTAAGAGTGCCACTCGGAAGAGCGGACACTGTCCCACAGTGGAAGTAACTAGGGGAGGGGTCCGGGTTCTAGTTCCTGCTGAGCCACCAAGCTGAGGCTGGTGATCGGTTTCCCACCTCTGGGATCCTCGTGACTCCACAGCTCCCAGGCCCTTCACACCTGCCATTCACAGAAGGACCAGGAGGGGGCGAGCCCACTTGGCTTCTATTCTAGCTAGGAGATCCGCAGCGAGTCAAACGTAGCTGTACGGTTCAGCAGCTCCCTGTGGCTGAGGCCAGGAGGCCCAGCCAACACCTAGGCTCAAGAAGCCTCTTACAGGGCACAGGTTCACAGGCCTGGACTTGGGGGCAGAGGCTCAAGTGCAAGGGACTTCCAGGTCTCTGGTCCCAGCTACCGCCCTTAGACAGAGAGAGCTCAGACATCTAGCTCGGAGGAAGGCGCTGCCTCTGTGAACCCAAGTGGCCCCACATTCGCTGCTCTGGTGCCCCACGGCCCCGCATACCTTGCCGAGCTGCAGGAGCTCCCAGTGGTGGTTGACAAAAGCTAGGATCTCCTCGAAGTCGAAGTACTTCTTCTTGCTCTGCACACCCAGGTTGTAGAGAGCCAGGTGAACCACGTCCACCCTGGACAAGAGGCCAAGGAGGGGAGCGGGCTGAGGCGGCAGCCTGACCCACCAGGGTGGGAGCCTCCTGGGACCCAGCTAAGGGTAGGACAAGGCTGGGATCGGGTCCCTGGAACAGAACTGTTCTCAGAGGGTAGGGGACAGGGGGTCTGGGAAGAGACAGAGTGGTCCTGGTCAAGCCCCACCCTTCCTCTTACCATCGCAGAGGCAGCCTCTCGATGTACTCTGGGCCCTGGTTACACACGGAGCAGAAGAATAGGTAGAACCTGTGTGTGTGGAGAGGTGGTCTGTGGTGGGGAGGGCTCTGCCATCCCACCCTAGTCCGGTCCTGTCCCCCTCCCCCTGCCTTTTCCATAGTCAGCAGTCTTACTACTAGGGCTGAGGGCCCTGGAGGACACGAGGGAGGGGGACCAGGTTAGACCAACACAGGAATCCAGGCCTGCTCCCTACCTCCAACTCCCTTCCCCAAACTCCATCACCCCGGAGTGTGGCTGAGCTCACAGGGCCATGAGCCAGGCTGGCCTGCAGAGGTCACCCTCTCCCCTAGGCACACAAAACACCATCCATGGATACTGACCAACAGCCAGACATAATGTCATATGGTTAGAATTCTAGTCAAAGTACCCATTTGCCCTCCAGCTACTACAGCAGGGATGGGGAGAGGGCTATGTCACCTCCCCCCACACACACATTTGAAGAGAAGGAGGTTGAGAGAGGAAAGGGCTTTGTCTAAAATCCCCGACAACAGTGGTTCTCAACCTTCCTCATGCCGCTACCCTTTCATACAGTTCCTCATGTTGTGATGACATCCATCCATCAAATCATTTCGTTGCTACTTCATAACTGTCATTTTGCTACTGTTATGACTCAGGCGACCCCTGTGAAAAGGCCGCAACCTCCAGGTTGAGAACTCCTGCCCTACAAGGTCTCGGCAAACAGACATGGCCTAACTTGCTCCTCTCCTGCCCCCTGGGGTTCACCACCCTGAAGTGCCCTCCACAGACAGGCCATATGAAGGCGCTGCTGCCAACCCTCACCCAGGACCTCCTCCCCAAGGGCATGCTCCCCAGATTAGGGCAGTACCTACCGGTCTCCGAACATCATGGGCTCATTGAGGCACTGCGTGCAGGCCTCGTGGAACCACTGTCTGCATCGGTAGCACTGCAGCATCCGCAGGTACCATCTAGGGAGACGGGAGCCGGGCTCAGCCCTCCCACTGCCCCAGCCTCAGGGACCACCCGACACAAACCCGTCCTCCCACTCCGGGAAAGGGAAGGAAGCCACATGTTCAGGACACTCTGGCCACACCTGGGGCCAGGGCTTAGGCTACCTCATTTGATCTCATCATCCGATACAAGACTGTCCCCATTTTGCCGAGGACTCAGCACTTGAGGGACAGGCTCAAAGTCACTCAGAAAACAAGGACACTGGATGGATGGATGGATGGATGGATGGATGGATGGATGGATGGATGGATGGTGATAAGAGCTGTAAGGGCCCCCAATAAAATGATTTAAAAAGCAAAAGAAATCAAGGGGTGGCGGGTGATTAAAATCTGGTCGCCCCAACTTTAAAGCCCATGCTCTCACCCCATCTGGCCACACAGGGGTCCTGATCTCTGAACCCTGCTTCCCAAAGACCACTGACAGGAGGCTCCCAGGGAGGAGTCCAGTAAACTCCATGTGGGCAGGTAGGAACCACCACGCTACTCAAGGAGTCACTGACTATTCATGAAGTGGAAAAAGCCAATTCCTTAATCATACTTTGCTCCCACCTCCTCAGGAGTGCTTCACCTGACACCAGGACTAGAAATGCCTAGGTGGTTAAAGTCAGTGCAAGGCTGCAGACCCACTCTTTTTGGTTGACCCAGCTAGGAGATGGATTCTGAAGCTTCACCTTGAAACTGCCCTTTAGGCAGTAAGAAACCCAGCCTTGGCGCTGGTCAAGTTCCTACAAGCATCTCTTCATCTGTTACCCTTAGGCCTCCCAAAGCCCCCAAGGAGGTTGGGACCCTTTGAGAGTTGAGCAGCCTCCAGACCCCTAGTTTTCTACAACAAGGCTGGGGACTGAGATTTGGTTGGGAGATCCTGAAGGGTAGAGACCGCCATCTCCTACTTCTGTGGTTCCTCCCACAATACTTGGTGCAGCCGTCAGCCAGCCCAAGGGAGCAGGCGCAACTGCACACAGCTCATCGATCTCCATGGAGACCCAGCAAAGAAGAAGTAAACTCATTTCCCCCCAGCCAGAGCGAGAGTTCCCCCGATAGCACCTTCACAGCGGGATGCCCAGCTCCGCGCTTGCACACCTCCACTGAAAAGGATCATAATATCCTACCAGGTAGCCTATTTAACTTGGCTTTGACAGTTAAAGGGTTAGCTTCCATTTATTAGCCACGCACCCCCCTCCCCAGGCAGTTCACACCTATTAAATAAATAAGTGCTTACTCCGTGCCAGACAGGCACTGTGAACCTTTCCCCCCATGATCCCACCCCTCGGGGCCTTACTCTCCGGGGCCCCCGCAGTAGCAGTAGCATTGCTGCTGGTTTGTGCGGTGGGGCGAGTCCCACTCGAGCTCCTCTGGCCGGTAGGACAGCACCATCTTCACGGCCTGCAGCGTCCGGGCAATGGCACCCTTCTTCAGCGCGCCGCCTTTCTGGGGGAGACGAAAGCCAGAGTCACCCGCGGGACCCCGGCTGGGCCCCGCATGTCACCACAAGAGGCCCAGATGTTTGGGAGGGGTTCAAAGTGGAGAAAAGCTAGGAACTAACTCCATTTCCCCCCTCATCAATCCCAAAAGGACCGCCATTAATACTGCTATTCAAAGTCATAAATGCAAGCAAAGTGACAATGTAATGGGTGTGGGCACGGACACACAGATTTTTCTCTCTTAATAAAGCACTGATTATTGGAGAAGTCCCTGGGTGATGCAGATGGTCCACATGACCAAAATGGTGGCCGCTGTAGTTGACACCTGGTGGGAAACCCCTCAGTAGCACAGCTCTCCCCTGACACTCCTGGGGGTGCTGTGAGCTGCTATCAGTGGGAAGGCAGCTTGGTTATCAGTTACTGGAGACCTCCTGACACCCCAAACCCATGTCCGTGGTTCAGCTGAGGAACCCGAGGCTCAGGGAGGCCCGGGAAGTTAAGTAGCCTGGCATAGAGAGCTGGTCCATAAGTCAATGCCATCGAGTCAATTTGACTTGTAATGACCCTAGAGGACAAAGTAGAACTGCCCGAGTGAGGTTCTGAGACTAGAAACCTTTATAGGAGTAGAAAGCCTGTCTCCTGTGGAGCAATTGGTAGCTTTGAACTGCTGACGTTGCAGTTGACAGCCCCATGTGTAACCCGTGACGCCACCCAGAGATCTCCAAAGCCTAGCGGTGGCCCTGCTTGGAGCTCAACCTCTGTGAAGGAGGGTGTCTGGGCTTCCGGACTGGCAGAGGGGGAAAGCAAGGACTAGGAAGGGCAGAGGCTCACCCGCACAGCCAGTGCGAAGATGCATCGTCGACAGAACCAGGGTGTGAGCAGGGGCTGGTTGGCACTGCCTGCTATGGGGATATGGCATTGCTGGTGGTAACCTACGGCAGAGAAGCAGGTGGTGAATGCCCACAAGGAAGTAGTGGCCCAAGGTCATTCGGCCCAACGGTGGCAAGGCTGGGGCAGGGAATGGCCCAACTGCACCTGCGAGGGCCACCTGCATGGCCAAGATAGTGTCCAGGCAAAGGACTACAAAAGGAAAAAAAACGTGCCGGCGTGGAGGCACCGAAGCTTGGCTTCAGCCTGTGCCTCACACCCATGCTCTCCACACAAGGGGGGCTTCCCACACTGCACCCCGCCTTACTCTCCAGAAGCCTCTTCTCTCCTTAAAGAGTCACCTCCCTGAGCCCTCACTCCCAGACACCCTGGAGTTCCGAGAGACACAGGAAACCCTCTGGGACTCCAGAAGTCCGGAGTGGTGACCGCAAGGGGCCGCAAGGGGCACTCACCCAGGCCGCATTTCCCGCAGATGAGGATCTCGTTCAGCGGCGTGGCCGTCTTCCCCAGGCAGATGCTGCACTTGGGCTCTTCGCCTGGGACACCGGCTGAAAGAGAGGCCCTCCAGGGTCAGGTCTGGCTCGGCGATGGTCACTGCTTTCAGTTCCCATCCCAGCTGCGGATTCGCTGCCACTTGCCGGCCTAGCTCAAGTCCAACCACACAGGGTCGTCCATCGTTACGACCCCATCACAAAGACCGGGACATCAAGGCCCAGAGACTTGAGTCCATAGGGGAGGTGGGATTCAAACCCATGGCAGTTTTGACAAGTCCTTTGTTTCTTTGTCCACATCCTGCTGCCTCTCTTGTTGGGTGAAACAGGTTTACGGTGCCTATGTTTAAGTTGATTATGTGAAAACTTAAAAAACAGCTAAAGCTTACATAATAGACATGATGCTATAACGGAACTCCATGTTCTCATCAATAATTATGAACTCCCAGGCCGCCTTCTTCCAACTGTTCCCACCCACTCTTCCACTCCTGCATTCTTTTGAATCAAGTCCCAGACACCAAGTCATTTTTCCGTAGAGTGTGGAAACTTGGTATATTTTTCACTACGGGTCTCTGGAAGATCGAGACTCTTTTAAACATAATCACAGCGCCTTTACTGTACATAAGAAGTTTCACAATTTCCTTTTTTGCTACCAAATTTAAAAATATCTTCTTTTATTTTTGTTGATGTGAGCAATAGACACAGCAAAACAGCCTTGTCCAGTTCAGAGATTTCTCCATGGGTAAGTCAGTGACTCAGATCCCTCCGAGTTGTGTAACAAGGCTCACCCTCCGTTTCCAGGATGTTCTTGGCCCTGAGCTTCCTGGCTAACCTTTCTGGCTGCTGTTGTCCGTTTGAACCCATACAGACAGTTCTTTAAGAGAGTACAGGGAAAAAAAAAAAGAGGGCACCAGGCTCAAGGCAGACAATCTTTTGCTGACGTAACTGAACTATGATTTGGTTTAAACGGAGCTCAAGTAGCACAGTGGGTACCGAATTGGGCTGCTAACCGGTCAGCAGTTTGAAACTATCAGCTGCTACGAGGGACAAAGATGAGACTTTCTGCACCCAGAGGACTTACAGTCTCAGAAACCCACACGGACAGTTCGGCCCTGCTCTACAGGGTCGCTATGAGTTGGCATCGGCTCGATGGCCGTGAGTTTGGCTTTGGGAATTATTTGAAGAACACTTCGAGGGATATTTCTGGTTTAAGGTTTTAAAATGACCTCAGAAAGAGTGTCCTGGACTCAGCCAGCCTCAGTGGCTTCAGAAAGTTTGGATTCCACAAGAATTTGAAATTCTGTTCCACGTTAACAGTAATAATCTTCACATAGTAAAAAAAACAAAAACACACAAACAGACCCCAAAACATGTTTCCAACAGTCTCATAATTTAAATGGCTCTTTTGAATCAAGTTCAACGGAAGGGTCCACAGAGGGTGAAGGGTTGCATAGTTCATGAACATTTCATGAATACCTTTTCATCCTGTTTATGGCCCCAGGAAAGGGTGCCCACAGCAGGTGTTAGCGGAACCTCTCTGACTTAAGGAACGGATCCATCAGTTACTACAGCGAGCCCAGCCTATGCGCTTGTCTGGGAAGATGCTAGAAGGACCACTGTCCTGACAGGAAGGGGCCCCCTTTCTGCCACAAGCAGCAGTCGTCAGGCAGGGGGATGAGCTGTTCTCCAGCTGAGCCCCGTAGTGCCTCCACAGTGGGTGCTGCACGGTCGGTCAGATTTCTGCTCAAGGTCTGGGAAGGTAAAAACGTTTTGTCCTTCAGCTGCTTCCGTATGCTTTCATGACGATGGTAACCCCAGGAGAGGGGACAGGTCTTCATTGTTCTGGCTCTCTCTAGAATAAATTTGGGGTGAGAGAGGCTAGGGGAAGGATCCTTCTGTCTTAGACGCCTTAGCCAGAAAGCTGGGGCCAATGGGGAAGCTATTCTCCCTGGTTGGGTTGTGCAACCTCTCCGTGGAAGACCTCATGGAATCTGGCCTTGAGGATAACAAGGTTTTTAGGCACTCACTGCCTTGCTCTCACGGTCACCTTTGTGGAGCAGCATTAGTCCTAGTGGATGAGCTCGTCGGACCCTCACCACTCTGAGAGGCCAGTATCTCACGATCCCCCTTTTTGGATGAACAAATTGAGACTCAGCTAGGTTTCATCACTTGACCAAGAACACACAACTAGTTGGTGGCAGGGCTTGAATTTGGCCTAAGGTCTCAGGTTCACGCAATCCTGCAACCTGCTCTTTTCTCCCCGTACCCATGCAAATGGGAACAGGTTCCTTCTCTCATGCCAACTGTGATTAGTCTTTGTTCCTGCTGGGTGCCATCGAGTCCCTGTCAATTCATCGGGACTCCTTGTGACAAAGCAGAAGTGCCTCGTAGGGTCTGCTAGGCATAGATCGCCAGGCCTTTCTCCTGCAGGGCTGCCGGGTCTGAGCTGACAGCCTATCAGTTAGCAGCAAACTCTTAGTCATTAGGGCTCCTAGATTGATTAGTAGTGGCTGCTTAAAGCTCTGTGCTGTGACTGATTTTGTCTGTCTTGCATATGGGAATAGAGAATAGTGGTGAGAATGCCAGTCACCATCTCTGTGAGAGAATGTTACTTCTCTGAGGGCAGGATGGCCGGACTGGTTCCATTCTGTATTCCCCACAGGGCCCTGAACATGCAAGCACCCAAGGGGTGCTGGTTGAATGAATACCGGCTGGGTGGGGACTAGTCTCTATATAACTGAGACTGTCAGAAGTCCTGGCATCAAAGGTGCAGATCCCAACCCAGCTCCTTCCAACCCTCAAAGCTGGGGCCCCTCCCTCTCAGGTATGTCGGTTGGTTTTCAGCCCCCTGGTCCCACTGTGCTTTCTAGGCCTTTCTCCTGTCCCCAGTGACAGAGCTCCTCCAGCATTGTCTTCACATGTCGCTAGAGGACACGAGGTTCCCAGCTAGAGGGGACCGTTCAGACTGACTGAACACCTGTGCCCCACCCCATTCCTAGTCCCTGACGGGCCCAGAGCTTTGTGCAGGAGACCATGTGCAGCATGAAAGTGAACCAGACCCAAGAGCAGTACCGGCCCTCCCAGTACCTACCCGAGTCACTCAGCCCACCTGTCCTGCCTTCCGAAAGAGGTTATGGGGACTCAGGGCATGGCGGCTGCAGTTAAAGTGCCTTTCCAAACAAATGCACAATTGTTCCTATGATCGCCATCTCAGGTGAGCTTGGGTGGGGGTGGGGCCAGGTCCCTGGACAGGGCCAGGTGTCAAGACTAGGAGGTGGAGGAACAGAAGGGAAAAAATGGGAGGTGGTCAAGGAGAGGTGACCTGAGGGCATGGGTACCCCAAACCGCAGGAGTACTCACCATGCTGTATGTCCTTCCACAGGACCCAGTATTTGGAGTTATCTTCGAAAGTCACCAGGCAGCTTTGCTTAGAACTGCTGACCTACGGTGCAGAAAGGGAGGGGCAGTGTGAGGAAGTAGCTGGGGGGAAGCCAAGGTGGAACAGGAACTTCCCTAGAGCCACTTTGTGTGTTCTAGAAAGTAGAGCCAGCCCAGAAGGACAAGAGGTGGCAGTTCCTGGAGGGAGT